AGGCTTCCCTGTCCTTCACTATCTCCCGGAGTTTGCTCAAGCTCATGTACATTGAGTCGGTGATGCCATCGAACCATCTCATCCTCTGTCACCCCTTTCTCCTCCTGCCCTCAGTCTTTCCCAGCATCAGGGTTTTCTTTTCCAATGAGTTGGCTCTTAGCAGCAGGTGGCCAAATTATTGGAGCTTGAGCTTCAGCATCAGTCCTTCCAATGAATATTCAATGTTGATTTACTTTAGGATTGACTGGTTTGATCTCCTTACAGTCCAAGGGACTCTCAAGAGTCTTCTCCAACACCACATGATATTGAAAACATCAATATGGGTGATTCTCTGTTATTCCTTAGGTCTTAATGTTCAATGCTCCCTCCTCTGAGAAGTAGGTCCCAGCTGCTACATTTAAAGTGGTTCCTTTCTCTGTCCCTCAAACTCAACCACCACTTCACTCCTTTAATTGTTGGTATCATAATCTGTGGTTATTTTCTCTCTTGGTTTGTTTACTTGGGCTCTCTTGTGGCTCAGATGGCAAAGAATCTGTCTGCAATGTGGGAGACCTGGGTTTGATCCCTGGGTCAGGGAGATCCCCTGGAGAAGGGAATGGCAACCCACTCCAGTGTTCTTGCTTGGAGAATTCCATGGGCAGAGAAACCTAGTGGGTTACGGTCCATGGGTCACAAAGACTAGGACACAACTGAGCGATTAACACTTTCACTTTGTTTGCTTGGTAACTGTGTGTCTCTCCCTGGACAGGAAGCTCTCTGAGGGCAGAACCAGGTGTGATTGACTCACCTTTGCATCCTCACGGCCCAACACTGCACCCGGCTAGTGGGAGGTTGTCTGTTCCTGCTCGGGTTGCATGATTAGAATAGGAATGAGTCAGTTAAGAGAAAAATGACAAAAGGTGGTCTACCTTGAGGCTGAGTCAGACCCCAGAGGTCTGGTTAGGTGGAGTCTCCTGTGCAGCAGATGGCAGTCTGTGGGTGTTGATGGAGGCGGGTAGTTTGCTCATTTGATGTGATTAAGGCTCATGCAGGGTCCCAGCAGCCTGAGCTGGCTCTAGTCTCCTGAGAGGAGAGAGATGGGAAGCTGGAGGAAGGTAAGAAGGCAAGTGGCCATTGCCGCTGAGAATGGCTCATGGAAAGGGCTCCCTGCTCTGGGCCCCTCTCTGAGGGAAGACACCCTGTCTTTCCCTAGCTGTAGTTCTCCTATGGGGTGAGGGGTGCGTGGGGCTGGGGAGAGACACTGGCCTGCAGCTTGAAGCCCCTTTTCTAGAGCTTGTCTTTGTTGGGGCCCTGAGATGGCTTCCAGGCAGGCACCAACCTCTCCCCAAGGTTCACAGCAGGGCCGTGGACGGCACTGGGGTGTGTGGACTGCATCGTTCCCACATGAAGGGAACATCGAGGAGGTGGGCTGGGACCCACAAAAGCTGAGCGTGGGCCTGCATGAGGGGCTCCGGAGCCCCTGGGAGGAGCGGCCGGGAGCTGGAGCACGCGCGGTGGGCTGTGGGACTCTCTTGGCTCCTCAGGGGGAACCTCAGCTCCTGCCCAGCTTCCCACAGGTAAGCGTCCCAAAGTCTGCGTCACCAACCAGCCGTGGCCAGGTGAGTCTCTGCGGGTGAGCCTGTCAGGGCCCAGAAGGGAATTGCCTGGGGAAGTGGGTGGCGAGTTACCCCATGCACCCATGGGACCTGCTCTTCCTGCAGCCGCAGAGGAGGGATTCGCACCCACTCCCCACCTCCTCAAACCCCCTGGGTGGCAAGAACTAGGGTGTCCCCAGTGAGCGGCCCCAGAGGAAGGGAGTGGGGTGGGGGCAGGGGAGGTGACATGGCAGGGTTGCCTGCCCCCACCTCCTTCTACCTTTGTCCTCTTCTCCTTCCCTCCCCACTGGCCACCCACCCTCCGAGAGTCGGGGCTTGGGGAGTGGGAAGGGGGACCCTGGACAGGGCAGGGATGTAGCAAGGGAAAAGGAGGGAATTCCTGACCAGAGGACTGGAGGCTGGGGCACTCAGGGGACAGGCTGGATGGGCGTTCTCTCTGAGGCAGCCCCCAGGTCAGGCACAAAAAGCTGGCTTCTGCCTGTGAGCGTGAGCGGTGAACACCATCAGGGAGGCGCCTTGTGCCTTTTGCAGCAAGCTTTGGGGGAAACCCCGTGTGGACGTGAGCTCATGTGGCAAAGGGCTCAGACATCAGGATCAGAAGGACTTGGGTTTGAATTCTGGCCCTGATTCATTCTTATGTGTGACCTTTTTTATAATTGCAATGTCTTTTATTGTTTTTAATGCCATACAGTATATATAATTATACATATATTTATAAATTCACATGTAAATTTATAAATATAAATTTATATAATGTAAATACATATAAATTTTTAAATTAGTGTATGATATAAATTTTATAAACATAAAATTTATATATATAGACATTTATGCATGTAATATATTTATATAATATATATTTCTATTTGTATATATATTTAATTTTATAAGCAGCTCATACAGCTCAGTATTAGGAAAACAAGCAACCCAGTCAAAAAATGGGCAGAAGACCTAAACAGACATTTGTCCAAAGAAGACATACAGATCGCCAATAAATACCTGAAAAGATGCTATGGGTGACTTTGAACAAATGACTTTGCTTCTCCATCTTCCTCAGCCTGCTTCCTTCCCTGTGAAATCCCTTTCCTCTCTTCTTTGCATCAGTCGTGTCCTTCAACACTCTTCGAGGATGGCTGTTTTCAGTAGTTTTTCATAGATCTCTTTGTAGCCCTTTTTTCTATCCTTACTGTTAGCTCAGATCCCAAGAACTGGTTGTTTTTGTTTCTGTTTTTTTCAAAAAGCAAAGGCCAGCTTTGTCAACAAGTAAATATGAGCATGCTTTGTCACCGAGCCATTTTACCTGTTAGAGCTCATGGTGACAGCAGTGACTGGTAGGTAGATACACGGGTACGTTGGGGATGGGGATGTTAATGTAAGTTCTTCATTGTTGATCACCCTTTTACAACCACTGGAAAGATACGGCTCCGTATGTTTGGGCTATAGTGGTGATCACACCACCAAAGTGATTTCCCAGGCCCAAATCTGATCATGCTCTCAATCACTCAAACATTCCCAGTGGCCACCATTGCCCAGAGGGCCAAGCCTACAATTGGGCAGCAAAGCCACCGCTGATGTGGCCCAAACGTACACCTCAGCAGCTTCACTGCCTGCCTCCCCAACCCTCTCCTTCTTTTGCCCACATGCAAGCCCCAGAGGAATGCATTCACCACCTCCTGAACGCATCATGCACCATCATGTTTCCAAGCCTCTACACACGTCATTCTTTGTTTTTCTGGAGAATTTCTATGCATTCAAACCCCAGCACGACTGCATCTCTGTTCCCCCAGGCGGAGCTCTGGTTCTCTTCTTGCTCATGGGTGGAGAGCTTTACATGTCCATATTAATGTACATAGGGCTCCCCTGGTGGCTCAGTGATAAGGAATCTGTATGCAATGCAGGAGAAGTGGGTTTGATCCCCAGGTTAGGAAGATCCCCTAGAGAAGGAAATGGCAACCCATTCCATATTCTTGCCTAGGGAATCGCATGGACAGAGAGCCTGGCAGGCTACAGTCCATGGGGTCGCAGAGTCAGACACGACTGAGCGACTAAACTGTCACCACCATTAATGTACTTATAGGGTCTGGTGAATATTGAGGCTTCTGTCGACACCAGTGACCTGGGAATGAAATGCCCAAGGTGTGGCTAGCATTCTGTTTATCTTTGTGTCCCCAGAACCCAGCAACAGTGATTGGCAAGCACTAGGAACTTAAGCAGGTAAATGAATATAGACTCATTTTCATGTGCTTTGTGTTATTTTCCTAAGAAAAGCAATTACTAGTGTGGATTCTCGGCTCAACCACCTCTGAATGCAAATCTCAGTTCTGTCACTTGTGAATGAATTTAGCCAGGTTGTTGAATGTCTCAGCTGCTTCAGCTAATAAATGGGTAACAATATTAACCTTAAAGGGATGTTGGGAAGATTAAATGTGAAAATAAGCTACTTAGCAGTACCAGGCACAAATAACCATCCAATGAAGGATGACTATAATAATTAGACCAAAGTGCCCATGTTCTCATGACAGACCCCTTTATGTGGAGCTGCACGTGGCTATGAGACAACCATCTTGGAACAGAGATGCTATTGGTAGAGAATTAATCCATTTAAGAGTCAGACCATTAACCTTGATCCTGATGGCGCAGTGCCCAGCCTGATTGCATTTGAAGATCAGAGAGAAGACTCAAGTGGGTCAGTTGTCTAGAGGAGCAAGAAAAACCATTTAAACCAGGTAGCAGATCAGTGAATTATACCCTTCATTACGTTTCGTATTGACAAGTCTGTTGTTTCCTTGCTGTTGGCCTTCATGTCTGTCCTTGGTGATTATTCATAAATGTAACTGTTTGCGTTTTCCAAATACGTTTGAATTTCACAAGTCACATGTTTCCCAGACAAAAGCCAAAATGAAATCAACCCAGTCTTTGAAAAAGCAGCTGATGAAGGCATAATCCACACCTTTAATTAACATTGAGGATTTGAAACTGAGTACACAGAGGGAAAATGAATGAATTGCTTAATTTTGTCTTTCTTGTACTTCACCTAGTCTCTCTTTACCCAAAACATCCATGCCCTGTATGACATGTTTTTCTAAAGGTTTTATTACAAATGCATACTTTTCCCATCAACTGCAGATTTTATTTGTGCTTAGAAAGAGTTCAGTTATTACCCTCAAGGAAAGTTAAGAGACTGCCCAGGTACTCACTAAGCCAGCATTCAAGGTGATCAATTCAAGCGTCTCGAGGTTGCTGCCCTTAACGTAAGCAGCTTGGCCTGGCCACTTGGCTCAAGCTGCCAAGGAAATAAACCAGGACCCTTGAGGGTGTTTCATGCTGGAGTTGTATTTGCAAATCTGGTTTGGGAGAGGTTTTCAACAAAGGTTCCATCCTCTGCTCCTGCTGCGCTGGGCTGGTTCAGTGCAAGAGGGCGACCAGAAGCTTCTGGAAGTCCCCAGAGGTGTCTGAGCGAACCATGTCAGAGAGAGACTTCTGGTACTTCTCTTGGAATCTGGCTTTTATCCCCTGAAGGTCCGTCTGTAAGAGAGACGATAGCCAATGTGATGTTTATAGTGTTTTCACCACAAACACAGGCAGCCACTGTTCTGAGCACATTATTCTCACTTGCTCGTTTATGCCTCAGAGCAGCCCTTGGAGTTGGAGTTATTATTCTTCCTATTTTGTAGCTGAGAAAAAGAAAGCTGAGTTCAGCTCCCCAAAGGTGGCAGAGGTGTCTGTGTGTCTGTGTGTATGTTCCAGTACAGCTTGGTTTATGGACACTAAAACTTGAATTTCATATGACTTTATGTGTTACAAAAATATTATTTTTCCTTTAAGGTTTTTATACAGTTACTTTAAAATAATCACGTTCTGATAATAGGGCTGTATAAAAATGAATGGTGAGCCTGATTAAAATTGCAGGCCACACTCTGATGATTCTTAGTATAAAGTTAAGAAAATTGTCAACACACTTTGAAATGAAGTCTTTTTTATTTTTGTCTCTTATGCCCTGATCAGCAAGGATATTAGTGCCAAACAACAAAATTCAAATCATCATCAATTTGTAGGACTTAATTTTGAATCTACAATTGACCCTTGACAATACAGGAATTAGGAACACTGACTCCCAGGCAGTCTAGAATCTGTGTTGCTACCTCTGCCTCAAAAATGAAAGAATTGGTCAATGACTCCTACAAGGGCAGGAAACTGAAACAGTTTGCATAGAATCAGGCCTCAAACCTTAGTTCTTCTGATGCTACATATTGTGATCTCTAAGGGAACACAAGGGCCTCCCTGGTGGCGTGGTGGTAAAGTATCAGCCTGCCAATGCAGGAGACCTGGGTTCCATCCTTGAGTTGGGAAGGCTCCCTGGAGAAGGAAATGGCAAGCTACTCCAGTATTCTTGCCTGGGAAATCCCCTGGACAGAGGAGCCTGGCGGGCTGCAGGCCATGGGGTCACAAAAGAATAGACAACACTTAGTAACAAAATAACAAGGAAATACAAACTTTTCCTCACACTTAGTTAATTTAAAGATCCATAAAATGAGAGCACAGGTACTATTATTTATTGAAAAAAATCTGCATATGGGGGCACCCACACCGTTCAAATCTGTGTTGTTCAAGGATCAACTGAAAAACTTGAAAAGGTACCATCTAGGTGCTGGAGGTGGAGAAAGGACTTAAGAAACACAAATAAAAAGATTGTTTTGCTCTAAAGACTCTTACAACCTAGTAAAGGAGATAATAGTTGTGCCATGGAAGATATAATTCCAGATAGAATACAGGGAGTCTCATAAAAGAAGCACAGAGCTCTCTTTAACCAGGAATTTTTTGGGGTTTTGTTTGCAATTTTGTTTGTTATCATTATTGTTTTTAAATTAGATTATATTTTGCTTTCTAGTGTTTGTTCAGTCGCTCAGTCATGTCAACTCTTTGTGACTCCATAGACTGTAGCCCACCAGGCTCCTCTGTCCATGGAATTCTGCGGGCAAGAATATTGGAGTGGGCTGCCATTTTCCTCCTCCAGGGGATTCTCCCAACCCAGGGATCAAACCTGCATCTCTTGCATCTCCTACACTGGCAGGCAGAATCTTTACCAGGAGCGCCACCTGGGAAGGGCTTTCTAGAGAGACCCACAAACAATTGCTCAGGTTTCTGGTTCTTTTTTTCTCCTACCCCAATTAGAGGGCCCAACAGGAGACAGAAAGATGAGCAGGAGAGGGTAGGAGAGTGAGGAATTGTTGGAAGTGGATGGTGTGCAAGAGGTCAGCAGGCGGCCCATGTCCTCTGCTCCCTTGGCTGGCAGGCTGCTTGACTGGGGGAGAGGGGCGAGTGCGGGGGCGGGATGCGGCTCTCCTGGGCTCCGTTCTAGTATCAGGCAGCTTTGGGGGACTAGGGGATCTGGCCAATATAACTGTTCGGGCCCAAAGCATTCTGAGGGAATGGTCCCCATCTGGAGATGACCCAGGGCCTGTGGTCAGCCCTGAGCTAGGATAGAGCATGTTGGAATAAACACTCCATGCATGCTGGAGTGAACATGGCACCCTGAGGATCACTTGGAGAGCTCCAACCCCTGGGGTCTTTGGCATCCTCACTGGCCTTTGTCACCAACCTGCTCCTAGGAGTGTCCCAGGATCTCCAGAGACTCTGACTGGGCTTGAGATACCAAGAGACAGAGAGAGAGAGAAGGCAGAGACCTAGAGAGATTAGGGAAAGAGAGAGATTCAGAGCAGTCAAAACAAAGTGAAGAGGGCGGCAGAGAGACTGGGGGAGGGAGCGAGGAGGAGGAAAGGACAGGGGCTTTAGGAGAGAAAAGGAAATATGAATCAATCGTGGAGGAGGAGAGAGGGAGGAGAAATTCCAGGAATAGAAATAAAAACGAAAGAACGGTCGTGTTGCTAAGTTATGTTTCAAAACAGTGTCAGATGTTAAGTATTATTTGTCAGAAATATGGGGGCCAGAATTTGGGTTGGTATCTCTTCCCCCTCATTTAACACGTTTTTGAGGGAAGATGTCAATGGTTTTCAAGTTCCACTTCACTCTCCAAGGTCTCTCTGCTGTGGATGAAATGCCACTTCCCCTCTCCTCGGTAATTCCTCCTCTCTGTGGCCCTGAATTCCGAATCTGAGTCTTGACAGTTGTTTCCAAACTTTTTTGGCTATTCCTCTCCTTGGGCCTTTGTTATGCTCAGGCATTCTCAGAGAGGGGTGATAATGCTCCCCAAAGGGGCAAAATTGGTTCTTAGAGGCTGAAAAAAAATCTGAATCTTTTAATGTAAATGTAACTATATATATACATAAGGAACCTAAATAGATATACAGTGTATGCCATGTTAACTGGAGGGGAATAAGGATTAGGAAAAAATGAGGTCTAAAAAGGTTCCCTCGTGTGGGGATCACTAATTTTAAAAAAGACTGGGAAACCTTGTCTTGTACTGACGTGGTTTTTGTGCAGAATTGTGCTTCGGGGGTGTGTTTAAGGAAATAAAGGCCTAACTCAGGAGTCTGGAAAGGACTTGCAAAGTCTCTGCTGCTGGGTGACCAGTCTGTTGCCAAGTGAAAGTGTTAGTCGCTCAGTCGTGTCCAACCCTTTGCAACCCCTGGCCTGTAGCCCACCAGACTCCTCTGTCCATGGAATTCTCCAGGCAAGAATACTGGAGTGGGTAGGCATTGCCTTCTCCAGGGGATCTTCCTGTCCCAGGGATTGAACCAGGGTCTCCCACGTGGCAGGCAGATTGTTTACCATCTGAGCCACCAGGGAAGCCCTTAAAAATGAGCTTCACTACCCTGACCAGCCCCTCCAGGTCCCTTCCACACACCACCCCGAGCTCTCTGGAGGCACCGATGGCAGAAATAGAAGCTGCCGACTTCCCTGGGGATCCAGTGGTCAAGACTCTGCACTTCCACTGCAGGTGGCATGGGTTTGATCCCTGGTCCAGAAACTAAGATCTCACATGCCCCGCAGTGCAGGAAAACAAAGACGAAAAAAGAAAAGACATAGAAGCCGCTCTCATTATTGTATTTTTATAAAAAGAAACTGAATGGAGCCCAGCACAATGTCCTCCACAAAGTCTGGGGAAGCAAGGGCTGTCTCTGTAGATAGACTCTTAATAAAAATGACCTGTTGATGACATCCGTGGTGGCAAAACAAGAAGGCGGAGCCAAATGCGTCTTACCTCAGCCCGGGTCACAATGATGTCAATGAGGGTCTCCTCGTCGGTGCCCGCACCCTTCATGGACTTGTACAGACGGTCAGCAAAGTAGCCCTGGAGGTCCCGGGCACTCCTCACTGCGCAGGACAGAGGGAAAGAGGGCATGAGGCGGTCACGTTTTGTTCAAGAACAGAGAGACGCTGGGGAGGAGCAGAGCTGGCTGCCCTTGGAGCGGATGGAGTCATGACCTTTGAAAGGCGCAGACTTCACACTGTTGGTAAAGGATCTGGAAGATTCCCCCACAGTCAGGGCACCCGTCTCTTCAACCAAGTCCCCTTCAGACACATAAGAACCTCTTCTATTCCCTGAAGACCCTGGGGAGAAGGGGGAGCGTTGTGGGCACCCTCAGGCTCTCCCTGCAATTTTCACAATTCTCACCAGCAGAAATGCCTTCTCATCTTTAAGAGAAATCTCTGATTTCTGCCAGAGCCAGGTCTAGAGGGGAAACACAGTGGTGGTTTAGTCTCTAAGTCATGTCCGACTCTTGTGATTCCATGGACTGTAGCCTGCCAGGCTGCTCTGTCCGTGGAATTTTCCAGGCAAGAATGCCAGAGAGGGTTGCCATTCCCTTCTCCAGGGGATCTTCCTGACCCAGGGATCAAACTCAGGTCTCCTGCGTTGCAGGTGGATTCTTTACCGACTGAGCCACCAGGGAAGCCCCCGAGGGGGAACACAGGCTGGCTGGCAACCTCTCTGTAATAAAACTTGGTAATCTTGAAGACTGATTCAGTTGCACTGTGATCCTCTGGCCTGCTGTGCTAAGCAAACTTCCTTCCCTTCGTTTTTCATCACTGGGTTTTAGGTGTGAGCTTCATCTCTGAATCTTTTCTGAAATCCCCACACCCTTCATCGTGTGTGGTCTGGAATGTGGGCTTGATGAAATATTTAGTCCTGTCTACACAGCATCTTCCTGTGATGCTGCTAATTGCTCTTTTCGAGCCCTGCCCCAGTCAGAAATGAATGAAGTATGATCTAGTCCTCAGATGAACAAAGTATGGTCTCTATTCACCCACCAGGGAATGGGGTGTACCTCTGCTCCTAGGGATAAATCTTGGTTTGTCCCCCTCCTCCCAGGTTCATAGGAGTCTAACACTTTGGGGGAATGAACTCTTTTCTGTTTATATTGTTGATGTTTTGCCTAGAACAATGAACATTTTTGATGTTCAGTTCAGTTCAGTCGCTCAGTTGTGTCCGATTCTTTGCGACCCCATGAATTGCAGCACGCCAGGCCTCCCTGTCCATCACCAACTCCCGGAGTTTACTCAAACACATGCCCATCGAGTTGGTGATGCCATCCAGCCATCTCATCCTCTGTCGTCCCCTTCTCCTCCTGCCCCCAATCCCTCCCAGCATCAGGGTCTTTTCCAATGAGTCAGCTCTTCGCATGAGGTGACCAAAGTATTGGAGTTTCAGCTTCAGCATCAGTCCTTCCAATGAACACCCAGGACTGATCTCCTTTAGGATGGACTGGTTGGATCTCCTTGCAGTCCAAGGGACTCTCAAGAGTCTTCTCAAACACCACCATTCAAAAGCATCAGTTTTTGATGTTAAGGATAGGTAATAAGGAATAGATGCAGCATCAGTGTGGAATGCACATCCTTACCATGTCCTGTAATGAGAACTCTTGTTTTCTAGGTAATTGACAATGGACTTGATGCTTACAGGCCAGAGGGAGGAACAGAACTAGGAAAGCAGAGTCTGGCTTGGGGGTCTGTCTCCTTATTTTTTGGGTTATGGGGTAGCCAGCAGAGTGTCAGTGGAGAAGCCCAGACCCAGGCGTCTGAATCCACAAGCTGCTGAATTGGTGGATTTGGGGGTAAACCTGGCAATTTGAGGAGTAGTGTATCTGAGACTCACTGTGGCATCCCCCTCCCAGGCATTCTGAGCTGGTGACCTCACAAGATTTTCCTGAGCACGCATTTGTATTAATTGATGTTGAAATAATCATCTGCCTGGTGTCAGTGTGTTCTGAGCCTACACTGGTGGTGACTTCTCCCTTGAATTCCTTCTTCCTGATATTTTGGGGAGAAAATTCCCAACTTTGCTGCTGTGTATGGGTTATGCCTGGTGAACAAGCCCTGCTGTTCACAGCTGCAGGAATGCCCCAAAAGTTTGGATGAGGCTAGCTTGGGAGGATTTCCCAGACAGCTCAGTGGTTAAGAACCCGCCTGCAAAGCAGGAGTCACAGGAGATGCGGGTTTGATCCCTACATCGGGAAGATTCCTTGGAGGAGTACATGGCAGCCCACTCTAGTATTCTTGCCTAGAGAATCCCGTGGAGAGGAGCCTGGTGGGTTACAGTCCATAGGGTCACTCAGAGTCAGACATGACTAAAGCACTTTAGCATGCATGGTCACACAGCTCAGGAGGGTATGGGAATAAAACTGTTTGTGGCTGTGGGTTCAGGGCAGCCAGATGCCCTGCTGTGTCCCCTGCTCCTCTGGGCATGCAGAGCAGGGATTCTCAAACTCCAGGGAAAGTAAGACAACCACTCGGGGAGCTTGTAAAGGTGTGGCTTTGGGCTGAATTCCTGCAAGTTCTAAGTGGGTGACCTGGACTGGGACTCTGAAAACTGCATTTTCACATCTCCTTCCCCTAGGTGGTTCTGATGCAGGGTGTCGTCAGACCCCACTTTGAGAACAGCTGTTCCAGAGACTGTGAGCAGGGGGAACTGTCTGGTCTCATAAACACCTCCTCCTCAATTTTAACTTCACACTGGCATCTTTACAAGTTAGGCAGGAGCAGGGTGGGGAAGTGTCTAGAGAATTTAGTTATGGAATCATGTTCCACTCTCTTTGTGGTTCATTTTCAAGGTCTTTTCTGATCTCTTTTTTATTTGCTGCCAGGGGAGTCCACCTAACTATTGCATTTCACTGTCCCCCAGCTGTCGGAATGGGCTCTTTCCTTCCTCTCTACTTGCTTTGCTCTAATTGCTTTTATCTGTGAGCATTTGTGCTTATGCATGTGTGCTCAGTCGTGTCTGACTCTTTGTAATCCTATGGACTGTAGTCTGCCAGGCTTCTCTGTCCATGGGGATTTTCCAGGCAAGAATACTGGAAGGGGTTGCCATTTCCTTCTCCAGGGGAATCTTCCTGACCCAGGGATCAAACTTGCATCTCTTGTGTCTCCTGCTTTGCAGGTGGATTCTTTACCTGCTAAGCCATCAGAGAAGCCCATTTTTATCTTTACTATAGCTCAGTCCATTGATTTGTGTGTATTTGTCATAACCTTGTTGCTTCTTAAGAAGAGGAACTGGACCTATTTCCCACTAATTCCCATGCCTGGCACAACCCCTGGCCCAGGCAGATGCTAAGTAAATGTTACAAACTTGAATGGTTTTATTACCATTAATACTTAGTATCAATAAATATTGATATTAAACTTCTGACTGAATTCTGGTGTTTTCCTAATTCTTTACAACTGCAAGTACAGAAAGGATTTGGAGCCTTGTAGCTGGGCCATGAGTAGATCTCTCTGTTTACTTGAGACAGTCATCCTTAAAATCCTAAGGACAGTCATCTGTGTGTATCCATAGTGGGACAGGAGCAACATTAAGGATGCTCAGGCCTCTGTATTGGATCACAACAGCAGAGCTGCTAGTTTGAATGCAAAATGTTGATGGATTAAAAAAATAATCAATTGCTGACATTGCTCCCAAAAGTCCCATCAAAAAAAAAAAAAAAAAGCAAAACAAAAGAGTTTGGCAGCAAGAGGACATTTTTTAGCTTCCAGGGGCTGCTTTTTTGGTTCTTCCTCTTCTTCTGGGGATATTCTCTCCATTTCTTGTGCCATTTGGGATGCTGCCCTGGCCTCTGCGCCACCGGAGTGTGGACAATGGACAATGCCTTCCTTCCAGGACTTGCAGACATGAGAAAGGAGCCTGCCAGTCACAGCCCAGTACCCATCTCTCTGCTATTTCCTGCCTTACGGGCAACGCCTGGAGAGAAGGGCCTGGCGTTTGCTTGGCATGGCTATGATCTGGTCTCCTCCCCCTTGCTTTCTAAACAGACCTCATTCATCCCAGTGTTGAAGGGAAACAAATGGCAAAGGTCACCCTCGAGCCATCAGGCACCTGAGAAAACTTGTTCACGGATCAGAACCTGAGTGCTTTCGAGTGTATGTCGTGTGAGCCCATGCTGCCCTGAGACTAGACGGTGGTCCCCGGCTGCTGATGGTTGTTGCTGGGAACCCACAGTCCTAGTGGGACCGTAGTGGGTGCTGTGGTGTGCCCCAAAGCTTCTGTCTTCAGGACCGTGGCACTCAGGCAAAGTGTTACATGCTGGCTGCTCACAGCTGAGCAGCTTCTCAGGAGGGAGGGAGTGGCTGGGTCATATGCATTACGAGTCAAAGTAGGCAGGTGGCTTCCCCAAGGTTGCACGTGCCCCGCGGCTGCAGCCAGCCAGCTGCTTGGTGTGGGGTGCGAAGGCCTGGGACCCTTGCCTCAACTTCAGACATCCTGATTTCAGGGCTTCCTGGGGACCAGAAAAGTTCCAGTTGCAGCTGCATTACACCCATTCTCTCCCTTCCCAAGGCTGCTTAGATGTGTTGTGTTTCCCAGACTATTACCTGAAGTCTTCCTGAACGCAAACCTCTGTCTCTGAGTCTGGTTCCAGGGAGCCTTACCGAAGTCAGGGGTTCTCCTGGCTTTACTTACCGAGCGTTAAGTAGGCCTTCTGCAGGTCTCCTGATGTTTCTGCCTCAATGGCCTCTTCGATGTCTTTGCCGATGAGCTGGAGAGAGAAAGTCTTGCTGTTAGTCCAGCTTTTGCTCTTGGCCGTGGTGCACTAGAGGCTTGTTCCTCCATGACAAGACTCACCCAGATTTGGTCATGCAAGGACCAAGGAAACTTTGAAACTCCCACCTGGCCTCATCCCTTGCAGGGCTGGGGGTGGTACTCCCCCACCATTCGAGTGGGGACTCTCATGGCTGAGGGAGATTTGACCACTAATGGACGTGGCCCCAGGCAGGACCACTCCCGCAGCCTCAGTTTCCTCCTCCGTAAGAATCAGGGAGTGGAAGAACAATGAATAAATACCGAAACAACATTCTTTGTGTTTCGATAGTACTTGAGTTTCCTATGTGTTTATAAAAACTCTTTCCATTTCCAGTTTTTCAGGAGGCTGTGGTTATAATCATCTCCTCCATTGTAAACTGAGACTGGGAGCTCAGGCGGCTACAGTCTGGGCGACATAGGTAGAGGCCGTGAAGTTCGCGGCAAGGACTCGGTCTAATGTTTCTGATACGATGGGGCTACGTGGGCTAGGAGCAGGGTGGGGGACGTGTAGGGGGGCTGACCATGTCAAATGCCAATTTCCTTCCATCTGGGGAGACTCCGAATGATCTTATATTCACTCCCAGCTTGCCTATCATTCTGCTAGCATTACATGTTAGGTTTCCTTCCAAATATTTATAGAAGCTGAAGTTTAGAGTAAATTGTGACCACACTTAGCACAAGTACTGCCTGGTCCAAGCTCAGGGCAGGCATATAAAGAGAAAGGAGAACCTTCAGGTTTGGGAAATGCAGTTAAGCATTAGAAATACTGAAACTTCTTTCCTAGAAATTATCTTTTGAGGATATGACACAACTGTGAGTCTATAAATAACCGGGGCTCTTGAGGACACACCAGTGGAGCTTATTCTGAAAATCCTGGTAAACAACATATTCTTTGTGGTGGGAGCACGATGGATGCAGGGGAGGAGGGTCTGAATTTAATGAACCCGTCGCTTGATCGCTTCATCATAGTTGGCCCATCTAGAGGTCAAGTGTGGAGTGGACCTAGATAAGATGGGAGTTGGGTTGGGGGGCTTTCAGTCCTGTCCCCTTCTTAGCTGTCCTCAGTTGTTTAGGGGTTGGATGCGGGAGCTAGTATTTCAGAAGAAACCGCTCTCACTTTCCCATGAACAGCGTTCTTGTTCTGTTGAAGGAGGTTGTGTTACAAAAGGAGATTGTATTCACACAGGTCTGTGTTTACTTAAAAAAAAAAAAATCCTCACACTAAACCACTTTCTGTTTTTATTGTTAATACTGGGCCAGAACAGTGTTTTTAAATTTTCTATAGCATCTCAGTCTACTCAACAGATAAAAGCAGGAAAGCAGAGCTGTTCTAGGGAGGTGGGGGAGGGGTTCCTGACCCCAGCCCTAGACGCCAGGTTCCCATTCTCTGAGTCTCATCGCTGCTCATCTCCAGGGGGCGCTATTTATGAGCTACAAGGAGATGGCATTGTCCTTTCTTCTCTGCCTGTCTCTCGACCCTATCTCCTCCTGATAGCTCCCAAAGCACCTCCAGAGGCTCCACTGAACACAAATGGGAAACAATCCACCGGCCCAAGGTACTAGGACTCTCCTTTGCAAATGGCATGCTTCCCACTGGAACACTTAATTCTTAGGGGGCTCTTTGGACAAAACCAGGTTTTGTGATCTCAGTGCAAAAACACATTGCCAGGGTGGATTCCAGACAAGACTCAGAGGCTTCTAGTTTACCAGGCAGCATTGTCTGTGGAGAGATTATTAGAAGAATAGGGGAGATACTTTTTTCTTTTAAAACCGGCGCCCTGATTGACCACATGCCCACAGCAGAATCATAGGCACTCTGGTTTTAATTATAAAAGTTAAAGGGCTAAAAGCTCTGGAATGGGCTTAGAAAAACTCTGGAAAGGGAGGGGAGAAGTGGTGAGGGGTGCGGTGGGGAGGAAGTGACCTGGGGCTGAGGGTATGTGTACCTACAATTTATACTGAGCCCTGTTTGGCACATCATAACTCTATAAGCCTGTCATGTTTGGTAGACTTGTGAAGAGTAATAACTTCACGATGCAGCACAGTTGGGAAGCTTTGTTGTTTGGGCTGGGATTTCTGACAGCGTCAGCAGTTAAGACTCAAGTTTAGAGGACAAATCAAGGGCAAAGTTTTTGTGCCAAAAATTAAAATTCAACTCTATGCCAGCACAACCTATGTCGCATAATAGACATCAATGATCTGACTCTAGCATATTAGTGCTTTTAGCCAGAGACCATGAGAAAATTTATGGAGCCAGATTCCCGAGATCATGGTCATGGTGAAACCTCAAAATCAGTGATAAAGATCAAGATGAATGATGTTCCAGCAAGGTTTTTGGAATAAACGAATAGGTATTAATAGCATTTTAAAGCTAGTTTCATGTAAAGAATCCTCAGATCAGTAGATTATCTTATTTTCCATTTGAGTTTCAGCTGTTTTTTGATGCTGTTGGTTCACACAGGGAGACTCCTACTAACTGCTAATGTTAGCTGAGCATGCCAAGCAGTAAATGCTTTAAATCTGTTATTCATTTAATCCTTACTAACTCTGTGAAGCAGGTACATTATTATCCCTATTTTACAGTTGGGGAAATTGAGGCACAGAACCCTTAGTAATTTGCCCACGGTCATACAGCTAGTAGCCTAGAGCAGACTTCTTAAACTTTAACATGCTTCAGGATCTAGAAGATTTATTAAAACACAGATTGTAGGACCCCAACCTCAGGGAATCTGATTCAGTTGATCCAGGGTGGGGAATAAGAATTCTTGTTTTAAGCATGTTCTCAAGTGATACTGATTCAGCTGATTCAGGATTAACTTTAAGAACAATTGGCTTAGGGAGTATCCTTAGATTGTCAGTAACTCATGTGTACACACATGTATGTGTATTTCTATAGTGATGCCCAATGACAACCACTCCAGAAACTCCATCCATGGCCCCTGTCTAATGGGAAGAGGCTCTAGGTCATGGAGAAGTCTTCCAGCTCAGGCTACTTAGCTCCAGGCCCAAAGGCCAGGGGAGTTCAGGGTGAGCTGCCTTTGATCAGGACTCTGGGCACAGTTTGAAAGCAAAGGGCCCTAAAGGCTTATATACAGTAATGATAAAATTCCAAAGCTTTCTTGTCTTTTCATCTGCTGGCAACACGTCGGAAACGCTATTCTGAGTGAGGAGCGGCCAGCTCTAGCCGAGGTAGGAGCTCAGGCTGGGGAATCTTGGAGCTCTCAACCACTTTCTGCTACTGACTTACTGTGTGGTCCTGATAAGTTACAGATGGCTCCTTACTCATAACAGACTTCCCTTGTCCAGCAGTTGTGGGTAACAATGGCTGTTGAGCCTACATTCGAGTTACAGTATTGTTGTGAAATTGAAATGAGACACAGGGCACAGATGTGCTTTGAATAGTTAAAAACACTCCACAAATAAAAAATACTAGACCCCCAAATATCTGATATTCCACAAAAGCCTTCTTGGAATTAAAGACTGATTTTCAGGGAAGGACTAACTACTAAGTGCCTTGAAATAGCTAACTCACCTTGTTGGCTTAAAATGATCATCAGATTAAAAAATAATTGTATAAGAGCAATTTGTACACATCTTTTCAGGAACGTATCTCTGAGGTATTACTGTATCTGTCTTAGGCACTGTCTAGCCAGTTGTCAATTGGAATAAAAATAAGGGCAAACATTTGTATGCTTACTACAAGCCAGATACTGTCCTGAGCCTTTTATATTCATCTTATTTAACTCTTAAAATAATCCCATGAGGTTGGAAAGATGATATTCAGGGTCTCTTTTCACAAATGAGGATGGAGACGTCTGTTCGTTACAGTAAAACCAGGATTTGAACCTGGGCCCTCTGACTCTAGGGCTTTGCTCCTAAACTTGACCTGTTGTCCTAGCCTCTGCTGCAAAGTGGGGTTTCCCAGCCTCAGCACTGCACTGGGGCCGAATGGTTGCCTGTTGTGGGGAGCTGTCCTGTTCACTGTGAGATGTTTAACAGCATCCCTGGTCTTGACCCTCTAGATGCCAATAGCACTGTTCCCCCCAACACACCTGGTTATGACATCTTTCCAGACATGATCAAATAATCCCTTGTGTGCATGTGTGTGTGCATGTGTGTGTGTATGTGTGTGTGTGTGCGTGTGTGCTCAGTCATGTCCAACTCTCTGTGACCCTAGGGCTGTAGTCCACCAGGCTCCTCTGTCCATGGGATTCGCTAGGCAAGAATATTGGAGTGTGTTGCTATGCCCTCCTCCAGGGAATCTTCCCAACCCAGGGATCAAACCTGAGTCTCTTGCATCTCCCGCATTGGCAGGCGGATTCTTTACCACTGTGCCACCTGGGAAGCCCCAAATATCCCTTAGGATTTGCAAAATCATCTGTGGTTGAGAACTACTGTTATAAAAGACACCTTCGCCCCTGCTCCCACCACTCAGTTCCGTATCCCAGATCTCGGCTTCTTTTAAAAATAACTTGAGACTCTGTTACTGTGTGAACTCCTTGCCTTAGTGCTGAATCACTTACAGTTTGGTAGGCTTGAAAGGTGGCTCGTAACTGCTTGTGGCTTCTCTTGGCCAGGAGTTCACTGAAGGCAAGCTCATCTGTGCCCCAGCGGCCTTCCCCTGCCTAGAGGACCGAGTGCAAACATTTTGAAAACAACTTTTGCAAAAAGACCAAATATACACAGCTGTGACCAGGCCTCACTCACAGGAAACAATAAAACATACACTGAACAGAAGTCAAATTGATTGACCTAATGCTTTCAATTTCTAACCCACAAGTATACCTCACCTATCTATTTATATTATTTATACATCCCCTTGCTCCAAAATGGATCTGAGGGTGTTAACCCTAGAGTAAAAGAATAGAATAAGCAATTCTTTTAGGTTCACAAAGACAGTATAGATGAAAAATACTTTCAAGATCATACTTATTTCCAAAGTAATTCCAATTCACATAAAAGAAAGACATAATTGTTGAAAATCATGTTAAATGAAAGAAAACCATTTGCAGAGACTGGCACGCCTGCATACTTACATCATACAGCTCTTTGGCATCCTGCCCAGCTAGATCTTTGTCCACATTATCTCCTTCATCACGATTAGCCTCGAAAAATCAACAAGTTGTTATTAACTTGAGTTCCTGCTTGACCACAGAAAACAAAAAAGGGAAAGTCCTCGAGAAGGGGTGATTTCAGAGCAGTGGTCTGAAAATTAGACTCAGCCTGGCAAAGTGGCAGCACTGCTCTTTGCTGCCATCTTTTGGGCACAACTGATAAACAGAGTAGCTTCTGTGACAGCACATTTTTCCTTTTTTTTTTTTTTTTTTGTAGAAACCAGGTCACTCACAAACCTGTCTGACCTCTAAGAAACCTCATGATGTCCCTTAGAATGAATCTGCTGGGAAGCTATCCATTTTCCTTCCAAAATATCAAGTTGCACCTCTCAGGGTCCCCATTCTGAAGAACCCGGATGTTGGTCATGGAAGGTCTTGGAGGTCTCACGTAAGCCCTTAGTGGCAGGTGGAATTCTAAGGTGAGCCCGATGGCCCACCCTCTTGTCTAATCCCCTCCCTTTGAGTGTGGGCAAGACCTGTAAACATGGTGAGGTATCACTCCTGCGATCGTGTTACGTTTATGTGGCACCAGGGATGTTTGCAGATGTAATTAAGGTCCCTAATCAGTTGTCCTGGGTAGGTCTGACCCAATCAGGTGAGCTCTGAGAGGTCAGAAAAGGAAGAAGTCAGAGAGATGAGCTCACACTGGTCTGGAAGAAACCATATAGCCATGCTCTGAACTCTCTCTGGGGCCACGTAACAGGGGACTGTGTAGCCTCTAGGAATTGAGGGTCTTATTAGTTGACAGATAGCAAGAAAACAGGAACATCAGTCTCACAGCCACAGAGAACTGAAATCTGAAAACGGCCAGTGAGCTTAGGAGAGGACCCCAGGCCTCACAGGAGATGGCAGCCCTTGATTCCAGCCCATTGAGACCCTGAGCCAAGGACTCAACTAACCTGTAACAGGAGCCCTGGCCCATGGAAGCTGCTAGATCATAGATCCGTGTTGTTGCTAAGTCTGCAGTAGTTTGTTATGCAGCAGAAGAGCATTTGTATAGTCTTCCTGCTATAGCTCAAGCTTACTCTGTGTTCTCTGCTATTGATCTCTCCACATGGAGAGTAATCAGAGGAAACACAGAAGGCTCAGAAAGATGGGTGTGTCAGCGAGAGGGCAGAGGCCATCTGGCTGGAGGCCCGGGGGCTGCATCCTCGCAGGGACAGTTCTGAAAACCCTGCTTTCCTGGTCAAGCGGTTTCTACAGGCCTAGACTCAGGGTGAAGCCTGGAAGTTAATTGTATCATGAAAAGGACCCTATTTGGGGTCAGATGAGTTGGCTCTTGCTCCCTGGCTATGTCTTACTGTGTATACACCTAGAGGTTCCTTACTGGCAAAGTGAAATGGCAATGCTTAATGAGATGACTCACTAACAGAAAGGGATTGTAGACTGCAAATGACAAGGCAGATTGTTACGAGGGGGGAAATCTCCACTGAATAATTTCAGAAGAGCTGAATGGACAGAAGACAGGTTGATGGTTCATCCGTAGCAGTTTAATAAGAGAAGGAAATGTTTATTATCTACATTGCCTTTTACATCATGGTTGCCTGTTGCCAAGGGCTATTTCTCAAGATCATAAAGCATGTTTACTCTTACCTGTAGCAGGGAGACCAGAATTCCTTTTAGGCTTCCACTTGTATCACCTTTGACATCTGATTCAAGGCTCTTGTCAAACACTTTAGGGGAAGAAGAAAGGAGGAGAGGAAGCAGATTTAGCTTCCCAGAGGTAGTTTGCAAGAAGCATTTTTTATCTAAAGTCGGAGCAAAAGGTCACTTACACCTTTGGTAGGCCTCTTTAATGGCGATGATTTCCTAGGAAAGATAATAAAAAAAAAATCAATACTTCAGAGCAGGGTTCATCGATAAGATAGGCAGAGACCAGCCAAGATAAGAGGCAGAGCCTGTTTCTGGACGCAGGATGCCTTCATGACTTCCTCCAAAGGGGGCAATCCCTGAAGGTCAAGGTCCAAGCCTAGAGCAGGTCAGCAAGTCCCTGGCTGTGTGGAGATAAGGGGTTTCCCTGGTGCCTCAGGCGGTAAAGAATCTGCCTGCAGTGTGGGAGAGTTCAATCTCTGGGTCGGGAAGATCCCCTGGAGAAGGGAATGGCTACCCACTGCAGTATTCTTGCCTGGGAAATCCCACAGACAGAAGAGCTGTTGGGTCACAGTCCATGGGGTCACAAAGAGTCGGACACGACTGAGCGACTAACACACATACACATCCTTAGTTAAAAGAGAAAGCATTACAGCTAAGCTGATTTATTTTTTAAAGATTCCTCGATGTGGATCATTTTTAGAGTCTTTATTGAATTTGTTACAATACTGTTTCTGTTTTATGTTTTGGTTTCTTGGCCATGAAGATCTTAGCTCCCCACCCAGGAATCGAACCCACACACCCTACACTGGAAGGCGGTCTTAACCACTGGACCACCAGGGAAGTCCCTAAACTAACATAGTCATTCACTGCCTTCTTGCTCCATCTCACTCCCCGTCCTCCCCCAGGGAGCCAGTTTAAGAAATTCTGTGCATATATTCCCTTTGCACTTGTACATATATGTTTGTGCTACTGAAAATATATAGAATTGTTTTGTGTATGTGTTTAAAAACTGGAATACTGTATGTATTTGTTCAACTTATTTTTTTCACTCAGTAATAGGTCTTTAAGGTCCAGCTACGCTTACGCATAATTAGTCACCTAGTTTTTTTTTTTTTAAGTGGAGACAAAAATGTTCCATCCTACAGTAAGTCCCAGTTTATTTAGCCAGCCTCTGACTGATGGACATTTAGCCTGTTTCCAATTTTTCTCTACTTCAAACAAGGCTGCATTCAGTCAACAATTTTCTATGTACTACAGTGCAAGTCTCTCCCTAGGGTGTGTGCTGGGAAGGACTGCCTTACAGGCACATGCCACCCTGATAAAACGAGTGTCATAATAAAGTGAACTACATGAATCTTTTGGTTTCCCAGTACATACAAAAGTTATATTGATGTATATGTACGGTTGAGTCCTTTTGCTGTCTACCTGAAACTATCCCAACATTGTTAATCAGCTATAATGCAATATAAAATAAAAGGCTAAAAAAATAAATAGAAAAAAGTTATGCTGACACTCTACTATAGTCTACTAAGTGTGCAATAGTGTCTGAAAAAACAATGCACATACCTTAATTTAAAAATACTTTATTGCTAAAAAATGCTAGCCATCATCTGAGCCTTCAGCGAGTCATCGTCTTTCTGCCAGGGGAGGGTTTGAAATATTGTGAGAATTGACAAAATAAGACACAGAGACAAGAAGTGAGCAAATGCTGTTGGAAAAATTATGCTGATAGACCTGCTCCAAGAAGCATTGGTGCACACACTCAGTTTGTAAAAATGCAATAAAGTGAAGTGCATAAAACTGTGTGTGGCTGTATATTTCAATGGCTTGTCCCGAGGGGCCCACTTGGGAGCTGCCTCAGTTTACACTTGAATCAGCAGCATATAAGTGCCAGTGTCTCCCCACAGTGTCTCCCACAAACTGTTTAAAGTGAAAGAAAAAGAGACACAGATGTATAGAACAGACTTTTGGACTCTGTGGGAGAAGGCGAGGGTGGGATGTTTCAAGAGAACAGCATCGAAACATGTATATTATCTAGGGTGAAACAGATCACCAGCCCAGGTTGGATGCATGAGACAAGTGCTCGGACCTGGTGTACTGGGAAGACCCAGAGGGATCAGGTGGAGAGGGAGGTGGGAGGGGGGGTCGGGATGGGGAATACATGTAAAACCATGGCTGATTCTTGTCAATGTATGACAAAAACTGCTATAATATTGTAAAGTAATTAGCCTCCAACTAATAAAAATAAATAAATAAATAAAGTGAAAGTTGTGAGGCAGCAATGGGGAGAAGGGAGTGGGGCTGATGGAAGATGAGGAGCCAGGCGGTGTTGCTGTGGTGGGCGGGAAGGGGGTAGGAGGAGGTGGGGGCTGAACATCCGAGACTCTGCAGCCCCCTCCCCTTTCTCCTCCTTCCAACCCACTACCAGGATCTGCCTGAACCTGTCGCCTGCGTTCTCCCTGCTTTTCTCCTTTTTACTGTCAGATCTATTTCATTGGGGGAAAAAAAAGCCTTGCTCATTGTTTGAGACCAGGACCCCAAGGAAACTAGGTTGAGGGTGAACCACATGGGAAAAAATGTGATTAGAAAAAGAATGACCAAATTAACCTTCTGGCCAAGGGAGGCTGCCCAGATACTGGCTGTCTGGTCACTGGCACTTTGGTGCTTCTGGAAAGGATGGGGATACTGAGTAAGGAGAGTTGTGTGGTTATTGGACAGAAGCAATGCCATCTGCCTGTGCTAATGCTCCTCTAAATCACCATCCTAACTCCAAATAGAGGGGTTTTATTATCTATGGGAAGAAGAGGAGTCCAGGGATGTTTAGGAAAGGGGTTTGCTCCTGTAGCCTGGACCCCGGTGGTGACTTGAGTAACGGGCCGGACAGCACAGGCTGAGCAGAAGGAACGAGCCTGGATCATCGACATTTGGGGCCTAAGTATTAACAGCCCAGTAGCATCAGAGTGCTGGGGTGGTTTTCCTTGCCGTCTGCTCCAGGCGCTGCTTCTGTTTCCTGCCTGAAGGAATCAAAACTGTTGGGTTTTCTTGGCACTTTCCTTGCTGGACCTCCCACTCTACATGATGGATGCTGCAGAAGAGGGAGGAAGATGTTGCAGAAGAAGAGGCCCAAAGAAGGACCTGGGGACCCTTTTTAGTCTTGATGAAGTCCATGATCCCTGGACTTCCCTGGTGGCTCAGATGGTAAAGAATCTGCCTGCAATGCAGGAGAGCGGGATTTGATCACTGGATCAGGAAGATCCCTTGGAGAAGGGAATGGCAACCCACTCCAGTATTCTTGCCTGGATAATTCCATGGGCAGAGGAGCCTGGCGGGCTATAGTCCATGGGGTCGTAAAGAGTTGGACATGACTGAGCAACTAACACACATGCACACGGCCCCTCTGGATTCTGGAAACAAAGATGAATGGGCCTTCACAAATGTCCTTTTTAGCTCCTGAGATGATGGCATGTACCCAAGGGACGAGGGGAGAGGGCTGCTGATAGAAGGACATGGAAACCTCTGGGGAGGTGGTGGCAGCCCCAGGTGTTCCCTGGGATCCCCTTGGCATTCACACCCCCCTGCCTCGTTCCTTTGCTCCCTGTGTCCACACTTGGATTGCTAATTGCAGTATTGGTGCTAGGAGACCTGCAAAGTCAGTCTGGGCAGGTAAAGTAGGACTCGTATCCCACATATGAAACCATGCATCTCTTTAGGAAAATAAAACATGATTGACACAGCTCTTCTGTAAGGCTCTATCCTGTCAAGGCAGGGGCAGTAACACCAAAACTGATCATCAGAAGATTGGAAGAGGCGTCTCTCCAGTGTGAACCAAGTGAGCCCATTGCTTGCCCAGACATTTGCTCGCCAGAGGAGGGGATGGCTAGGAGCACTTTCCCTTCTGGCTGCTGTAACCCTCTCTGATGGGCACGTGGACGCTCCCTGGGGGCTTGGCTGGGACTCACCTTATTGGTTCTCGTGCATAGCACCTCGATGAGCACTGCCTCGTCTGTGCCCATGCCCTTCATGGCCTTCTGCAGCTGCCGGGCAGCATACTCCTCGGGGCGATCCAGAAGGGCCAAGGCTGTCTTCTCAAAGTTTCCACTCAGCTCACTCTTGAGCACCTCCTCCAGGTCCTGTGGGAAGACGGCGGGAGTCCTGACTGAGAATGGCCTGAGGTCAGAAGGACAGGTGTCTGCTTTCCGCTCAGCACGACCCCAGGGGCGACTGGACACCTGCCGTGGATGCCCAGGGCACGCTCTAGACAGGAGCTCTAAAGGGGTGGGCGACCTTCTCTGGAGGACAGTGATCACCCTACTGCCCATCCATCTGCTGGGGACACTGAAGATGAGTCACAATGACAGCAAGCATTTGCAGAACACTTTAGGGTTCAGAGAGCCTTCTCATTGATCAAGACAGCCCTAAGAGGAGAGGTATTTATTGCTTTATCCCCATGGACTGAACCTCAGTAAGATAACGGACTCGTCTGCAAACACTTGGATAGAGAGGACTAACACAGTTGTCCTCTCCAGGAGACTGGATCATTCATTGGCCAGATGGGGGTGCTTTTGAGAGGGAAAGCACATGCGTGCTCAGTTGTGTCCAACTCTTTGTGACCCCATGGACTGTGCCCACCAGGCCCCTCTATTCATGGAATTTTCCAGGCAAGAATACTAGAGTAGGTTGCCATTTCCTTCTGCAGGAAATCTTCCAGACCCAGCGATCGAACCTGTATCTCTTGTGTCTCCTGCATTGACAGATGGGTTCTTCACCAGCTGAGCCGCCAGGGAAGCCCTGAGAGTGAAGGGGGGCTCTACTAATAGTTGTCCCCTGTTGTCACAGGGGGACAACAGGTATAAAGGGAGACTGTCCTGGGCAAACTCCATGTAGAGCCACTTTGGTGTTCTGTTAAATCTTGAAAGGGACACATGTGGGAAAGAATTCAGGTTGGGAAAGGGAAGTTCATGAAATTTTCCCTGGCATCCTGTTTTTGGCACCCCCCCAATCACGAGTAGACTGCCTGCTCCTGCCTGCCTCCCTCTGACTAGATGGCTTAATGAGAAAAGGGTCAAGAATGGACATTCAGTCCAGCTAGAGTTTTCCCAACCGAAATGAAGGACCTTAAAGCAGGACTTTCATGCAGAGAGACAGCTCCGTGTGGGTCAGACTGGAAGCCGATAGACCAAGTTACAACTCAAAGTCGGTCTGACTACTCAGCTCCAGGCATGATGGCTAACAGCACAGCCATGGAATTCTGTGACCTCGGAAATGCGCCTAATTTCATCATCTCTCGGTTTCCTTCTTTGAAGAATGGGGAGAATAGTAAGACTCACTTCCTAGGGTTGTTGGGAGAATTAAATGAGACAGTCCTTGCAGACACTGAACACAGTGCCTGGCACATTTTTGATGTTCAGTAAGTGATTATTATTATTGCTGTTATTATTATTCTATGTTGATGAAACTTTCAGAGAGAAGGCAAATCAGCTATTCCTCAAATGAACCTTTGAGTTCCAGATCTGGGAGAAAAATCCAGAAGATTTTTATCCAAGGCCCTGGGATCTGCTGCCTCAAAAGTGGGTTGTGATGTTAATATTACTAGCTTCATCCCATGGCAGTTGCTGCATCTAACCCTGACCCTGTGAAGACAGGCCTCTGGCCAGTGCTCTGGTGTGGATTTAACCGAAGACTGGAAATCATTTTTCAAGTCAGATGGGCATTATGTAGAACTGCAGAGAAGAGAGATTCCAGCTGCTTGCTCTTAGAAGCCACAAGCATGAAAACAAACCCCTGTGTGTTTACATTCTATTTGGACATAGGAGCCAGCGCAGGATACCTTGGCTCTAACCCTGGTTTCCTGCTAACTAGCTGTGTCACCGTGGGATGCCTCTTCTCTTTGGAGCTCAGTTGACCTGGGGATTTAGATTTGTTTGTCTCTAATGTCTTCCAGGGCTTCCCTGGTGGCTCAGTGGTAAAGAATCTGCCTACTGATGCAGGAGATGCTGGTTCAATCCCTGGGTCAGGAAGATGCCCTGGAGGAGGAAATGACAACCCTATCCAGTATTCTTGCCTGGAGAAGCCACATGAACAGAGGAGCCTGGCAGACTACAGTCCATAGGGTTGCAAAACAGTTGGGCATGACTGAGCAACTGAACCACAACAACGACAAGAGATGTCTTCTAGTGATATGATTCTCAGTCACCTCTTTGGTAGTCTCAGCCATCTGATAAACAGCTAACTGGAAAGTAAAAAAAAAAAAATGATTGGCGGATGTAGGTATTGCAGATTTTGTGCTATAGTGTGCCCACTTTAACAGAGCCTGAGGTTCTGACTTTGAACCAGTTTACTTTTATTTTACTGCTTCCTAAGTGGCACAGTGATCAAGAATACTCCTGCCAATGCAGGAGACACATTCGACACAGGTTCAGTCTTTGGGTCAGGAAGATCCTCTGGAGGAGGAAATGGCAACCCACTCCAGTGTTCTTGATGAAAAATCCCATGGACAGAGGAGCCTCATGGGCTACAGTCTGTTGGGTTGCAAAGAGTCAGACACGACTTAGCACACACACACACTCTGATTTTACACCAAAGCTTGAGAAGCCTGTGTCTGACTTTCCATATTGGCAGGATAGAAGTAGACGCAGTGCTTGAGGAGCTGCTACAGTTAGGCATGCTGACAAGGATGAAAGTTCAATGTCATTCAATTAAATTCAAAGCAGCTGAACTGAAGCTTCACTTGTCTTCACCAGTGGCATCAATGAATAGCACTGACAAGCCTCATTGTGCGGAGAGAAGCAGGAGAAACGACAAACGCACAGCTGTCTGGGCCACTTAACGTAGAAATAAACTGCTCCTCTTCTTACGACAAGGGGTTCTCCAGGCGTGATAGCTGGCCCTGGAGATGGAAGACTGACTCGAGCCCTGGTTCTGTTTCTTACTAAGTGTGTGGTTTTGCATCAGTCATTTAAATAGATGAGCTCCACTTTCCTCTCTGTAAGATGGAAACAGCTATCCCTATCAGGGCTTCCCTTTGTTGGAAGGTGCCAGCATTGCCCTGCCTGATTCGCCCAGCAACCTGAGATGGGAGGCAAATTTATCATTGCATTTGTGAGGAGACCAAGCCTGGAGAGATGGTTGCCCGCCCAGTGACAAATAAGTAAGAAAGTCCATTTCTATCTCTGTATCTAATTATACATATAATTATGGACACTGTAAAGATTTTCTAAATTTGGAATTAGAATGCAGCATAATTAATATTTATTTTGTAAACTGATCGTTCTAACGACATCAAGAAAATGTTAAATTGTGTTAATGATGTATTAATGAAGAAAATACTGTAGAAAGGATAATATATTCTTAAAGATTTCTATACATAACACTTTCAACAATAAGAATGAAAGAAATGTAAAGAAAGGAAAAGGTGTTGCTGCTTAATGAAACAGAGAGTGTTTTTGCTTCTTGGTTTTTTAGTTTTTGTAATGGTCATTTATGAAGAATATATCATTCTCAAAGACACCTGAATAAATGAAGAATTATTATATAAAGACCCTCCCGTGAAAGCTGATTTTCAAATTACTGGCCTATCTATAAATTAATGTGTGGAATTAGTCCAAAAGAATGGGGGAAAATGACTGAGGGATTAATTTAAAAAGAAGTCAATTGAAAAAGCAATGAGTTAATATTGATTTTACAGGCTCTTGACAAGGCCATTTCAGTTTTTCTGAAGTCAATTAAAGCTCTAAATAGTTGTCTTATTTTGTTTCTCCTGGGCTAACTAGATAAAGCTTTAAAGGTATCCCTCACTGTCTTGGGGACACAAAGGAAGCAGAAGAGACAGTTAAGACCAAGGCCATGTGCGCATGGCTGAAGACGCTTGGCATCACCTTGCCGTATGCTGTCTTGTACTTTTGTTTTATTTGTTGCCTCTCATTCGATGTCCTGCTTGATAAGATTTCAATGATGGCGGCTTCATCGGTTCCTAAAGTGCAGGAGAAAGAAACAAAACCACAGTGAGCAGGAAACAATATGGAAGTTTATCTAGTCCAGCTAGAGAAGCCAGGGTAGACAGAGGTCGCAGACTTTGGTAGAACCTAGATGGATCCTTTGACTTTAATATCTTGTGCTGATAACTGTGTTCTCTTTATTCATGTAACAAGTATCCACTGAGGTCTCACATTGCATAAAGCACAGTACTAGGCATTGTAGCAGAAAAAGGAACAAATATAGTTTATCCCTTAATTTCACTCCTCAACATAAATGGAGGAGAAATGAAAACTTATGTCCGAACAAAACTTGCATTCAAATGTTCACGGCAGCATCATTCATAGTGGTCAAAAGGTGCAAACCACTTGAATGTCCATCAGTGGATAATGGGTAAATGAACCATGCCATATTCATTTGGTGGACTATTACTTGGCCAGAAAAAGGAATAGAGTACTGATACATTTGATGATATGAATCGGCATTAAGCACGTCATGGTGAGTGAAAGAAACCAAACACAGAAGATGAAGTATTATGATTCCATTCATATGGAAATCCAGCATAGGGGAATGTATATTAAGACAGAAAGTAGAACAGTGGCTGGAGGTGGGGTGGGCAGAGTGGTGATAGCTCAAGTGTAGGAAGTTTCTTTTAAAGGTGATGAAAATGTTCTAAATTGACCATGGTGATGGTTTCATACATCACCACATTAATAAAAACTGAATACATTAAAAACAACTGAACACTTTAAATGGTTGAATTGTATGGTGCGTGACTTATAACTCAAAAAAGACCCCCCAAAAACACTGTAAAAACAAATATGGTATGTTCCTTGGCCTCCAGGTGCTTAAAATGAAGTGGAAGAGGTTAAGACCAAAGGCCCAAATTGCTACAATATCAAACCCATTCATAAACTTGTTAATTTCAGAGAAAAGTCCTAATTGGTAGCTTGAGGGGGTAGTTACCCCTTAGACTCATCTGAACCACACTTTTCCCCTGGTGCTCAAAGTAATCCTTGTTCATCATAGGTGAAAGTGAAAGTTGCTCAGTTGTGTCCAACTCTTTGCCACCCATGGACTGACTATACAGTTTATGGAATTCTCCAGGCCAGAATACTGGAGTGGGTAGCCTTTCCTTTCTCCAAGGGATCTTCCCAACCCAGGGATCGAACACAGGTCTCCCGCATTGCAAGCGGATTTGTGATCAATACCAAAACAATAATGACTAAGGAAGAAGGGCAGTGTATCCTTTTTAGAAACTGGACGCAGGATGGGAAAGGGCTTCCTAGGTGGCTCTAGTAGTAAAGAACCCTCCTGTCAATGCAGGAGATGTAAGAGATGAGGGTTTGATCCCTGGGTGGGGCAGATCCCCTGGTGGAGGGAATGGCAACCCACTCCACTATTCTTGCCTGGAGAATCTCATGGACAGAGGAGTTTGGTGGGCTATGGCCATAGGATGGCAAAGAGTTGGACATTACTGAAGCAACTTAGCACACGTGCACACACAGAGTAGGAAAAATGTCCCAGGGGTTGCAAATATGGGAATGAAAAAGACTATTTGATCAACAAACCCTGAATTCAATTTCTTCAGACTGGGTTCAAGTCCTGGGCTCCACCCTTAAACCACATGACAAATTATCAGATTCTGGAGCGTTTCTGCCTGTTCCTAGCCCTCCTCTCATGCCTGCTATCTGCGAATAGCATGTGCTGGCAAGGACTTGAAGTGTTTGACTCTGGCACCAGCCCTCATCTCTCTATTTGGAAAGTCAGTGCCGGGACTTAGAAAGACTGCGCTGACCCAGCGGTTGGAGGGCTGTGTGCTGCTCCTAGGGACAGCCACAGCTCCATGTCTGTGGACCGTTTGTGTAGTCTCAAGGACTAGTTCCACCCTTACAATTCCAGGAAGATCTAGCTCTTTGATTCCAGCTGGAGAAACTGAAAATTTTAGGATGAGCTCACTTGCAAAAATAGCGTTTGCTGCCTGCCTCATTCCGACTCACTCCCAAAGCTATTTCTGCTGTCCCTCCTCATTTCCTCCTGCAGCCTCGCCTCCAGAATCTGTATGCAGTTACTTCCTCTGCGACATGATGTCTGTTTAACCTCTGAGTGCTGGAAATCTCACCTCAGAAGGGATTATTTTTTCTCATAAAAAATTCTCTGAATCCAACCCCTTCCTTTTTTTTTCCACATGGGCTGCTCCATGGGGATCCTGCCTTACCCTCACTTTTTCTGGTCAGAATTCGCTGTCCTGAGTGGCCTTTCTGCTGAGCAGATCAGCCTGCTCACCTTTCTGCTTCAAACCATTCCATCTAGGCCCCTTTTAGATCCAGAACAACAGCCTGGACTCTTCCCTCTGCCTGCAAGGCCTTCTGTTAGCTTTGTGCTCCTCACCTTCACTCCTGTTCCTAACTCGCTGGAGTCTCCTGGGAAGAGATGGACTCTCCTTCCTGGTCTGTCCTATTGCCCTTCCTCTTCCTCCATCCTGTCTCTGCCATCCTTCACTGCAAGTTCCATGGGAGCAGGGGGCCCTGCTCATTGCAATCTCCACATAGAAGACTTGCAGTATTCATCAGACCTGACTTGCTGAGTGAAGGAGTGTTTAAATGCCCGGGGACATTTGCACTGCATTTTGACGGAGCTGGTCTCTGCATGGGTGTGAAGCTGTGTGCTCTACTCAGGCCCTCTATACGTAGCGGGTGATGTGACGTGTGTGTGTGTGCTTGTGTTGGACTCTTTTCGACCCTATGGTGTGTAACCTGCCGGGCTCCTCTGTCCATGGAATTCTGCAGGCAAGCATACTGGAGTGGGTTGCCATTTCCTTCTCCAGAGAATCTTTCTGACCTGGGGATCGAACCAGAGTCTCCTGTATCTCCTGCATTGGTAGGCAGATTCTTTACCCCTCAGCCCCCCGGGAAGCCTGGCCATAGCAGGGACCAACAGGAAATCCTCTGCTCCAAAGCTTCGGTCAACCTATATCTGCATAATTCAGGACAATTGAGTTAACATTTTAAAAGCAAGGCTTTTAAGACTTTCCTTTCTGCAATACTTCTTAGAAGGAGAGCAGAGCAGTCTGGGGCTGGCCCAGCAGCAGCCTGGAGGTTGGGCGGGGAGCCTGGAGGGGGGTGGAAATGACTTGATCCCTCAAGCTCTTTGAGTCCGGGCATCGGGTTTATCTGGGGAACTGTTTCCACTGCCGGACCAAGAAGCGGTTTACTGAAGGGTGACCTCATCTTATATTTCACAGTATGTGTATCACACAAGCAGTCCATGCAGGGGAACAATTTCCTGTAAACATTTACAATGGTTTGAGGCACCAGGGCCGGTCCCGAGCAATTCTGGGAAAGACTTTTTTTTTAAATGAGGAAGGAAGGAACCTCAGCCTTGACTGTGCATAGGACACAGTAATTACACAGTTGAGGTCAGAGCCCGGCGACCGTCAGCCTCGGAGGGCCGAGAGCCTCCTGACTTTGGCTTGCCCGGCACTCTTCTGGGAAGACACGGAGCCGAGTTTCAGCAGGATGGTGGGGAGCTGAGTCTCTGCCGGGTTTGAAGCAATCTCCCTGTTACCCTCCCTGATGAGTGAGCGCTTCTCAGAAGGCCCCCAAGGCCAGCCACAGCCACCCTCCAACAGCTCCATGGCAGCTTCTCCCTCTAAGACTCGTTTCTGTAGTTTTTGGAAGGAGAAATGGGAAACCTCCTTTTGCATTTCTGAGAGGATAATGAATGTTGGGGTCCGTGCACTATCAGATTAAGGCATTATCTACAGGAGGGACCTGCTGGGACGGGGGTTCAGAGAGCCCTGAGAGGAAGGCCTACCGAGGGTCAGTGTCAAGGGTTTGGGTTAACCAAGACCCAGACCAAGGGTCCAAGGTACTTAGGAGCCGGGGAAGCATAAGCACCAAAGATGTGAAAAGGAAATCTGCCAGTTTAGCAATACTTGGAAAAATCAATTGTTATTTTATGGTATAGCATTCTTTTCTTTTTTTAAATTGGAGTACAATGTTGCTTTACAATGTTGTATTAGTTTCTTGTTCTGTATCAAAGTGAAGCAGCCATACTTATACACATATCCCCTCTCCCTTGGATTTCCTTCCCATTTAGCTCGCCACAGAGTCCTGAGTAGACTTCCCTGAGCTATGCTGTGGGTTCTCATTAGCTATCTGCATTATACTGCAGTGGATCTAAGTCAATCTCAATCTCCCAGTCCATTCCACCACCCCTTCCCTGCTTGGGGTCCATATGTTTGTTCTCTTTGTCTGTATCTCTATTTCTGCTTGGCAAATAAGTTCACCTATAGCATTTTCCTAGAATCCACATATATGTGTTAATATACAATATTTATTTTTCTCTTTCTGGCTTGCTTCATTCTGTATGACACACTCTAGCCAATCCATGTCTCTACAGATGGTCCAATTTCATGCTTTTTTATGGTTGAGTAATATCGAATTCTTATTATTTTGACTTTCATAGGTGGGTGAATGAGTGGGAGCCCACATAACCTTTCTGATGCCTAGGGCCTCTAACCTCTCACTATGCAATATGGTAGATACATGTGGCTATTGAAGATGCAAAGTGTGGCTGGTCCAAGTTGAAATGTTCTGTAACTGTAGAATATAGGGTCCTTTGATGACTTAATGTGAAAAACGGGATGTCAGGTATCTCATGAATAACTTTGAAATTGGCTATCAGTTGAACTGGTATTTTCAATACAGTATTGAGTTAACTAAAATATATTGTTAAAATTAATTTCACTTGGATTTTAAAATTTGGCTTCTCAAAAATTAAAAATGACCCGTATGTCTCACCATGATGGCTATTGGACAGCTTGGCCTTAGAAATTTAAGTCCAGCCCTGGCAAGGCTGGTATAGCAATAAGATAAGTACTTGGTCTTACAGATGAGTTTTGCCAATGATACAATTTTGCTTGGACTTACTCTAACAGAGGTTGGAATTCTAGACCTTTATCCAAATGATAGCTTTTCAAGATGGCTCTAGGTCCAATCACCCCATCCTCATTTCATAACTTTTTGACTTTGGACAAGTATTTAACCTCTGAGCCTTGGCATTCTCATCTGTTAAGTCATTACAGTACAACTTTACAGGGTTGTCGGGAGGTTACAGAAGATGTCTGCGTGGTGGTACCCAGTTTAGCACTTGGCATGTAGAAGGGACTCTCCAATAGTCACCAGCACAAGAGTGGCCACACCCAAGTGGAAGGAGGAGGAGAATCCAGTGTGACGTTGATGCTCAGTAGGCGCTGCATCTGTGCTTGGCAAAGTAAATTCGCGTGGTAGCTAAGAACTCAGGGATTTATCATAAACCACAGCTGACTCATCCCACACCCACTTCAGCCCCTATCTCCAGCCCACATCCAGATGTCAGGCCCTCACTCAGAAGGCAGCAGGGAAACACCTGTGAGGCTGGCTCAGACCCTCAGAACTATAAACATCCTGACACTTGCAGGCAAGCATGCCTCCCAAAAGCTGTTGTCCAAATAGAAGATCAGTCAGCCAGGATGTGAGCACGGACCAGCTCCTCTCTGCTGAGCTTGCCTCTGATGCCCCCAAACTGAACAACATGGTTGTCATCCTTCATTTCCAGCCCTCCCACCTCTGATTTATTCAACAATACTTACTATGTAGAATCCCTTCTACTTCTTCCTGCCACATTGTCTCCAACCCCAGGTCTTTGAGACTTCAGCATTTCTTGGGCAAGGTACACTATGCTATAGTTGGACAGTTCCTTCTACAGAAGCAAAAGATGTTTTCCTAGAACTTCCACTGTGGATCCCAGGTCTTTCCCCTGGAGTCACACAAAAAGTTTAAATGGCCATCTTCTACCACAATACCCATTCCTAGGAAAGTAAATCTCCACTAATTTACCTCTAAGTAAAATCTAGCACTTGTCTTCATAAAACATTATGCCAAGAGAAAGAAGCCAGACACAACAGGCCGCATACTGTATACAGTGAGTCCCCTACAGATGAACCTTCAAGTGTCGAACTTTCCAAGATGCAAATGTGCATTCTATCGATGCCAGGTGTGAGTGAAATCGCAGCCTGCCCTCCATCTCCTATTGCTGATGATGCTTCAACTCTACTGTCTCCCACCTCGTCTCCCTCCCCCAGTCAGCATCTCTTCTATCCTCTTCACTTGATGCCCCAGTCCTTGTACGCTGGCTCTTGTACTGTACTACTGTACTTTTCAAAGTACTGTAAGATTAAAATGTTTTTCTTTTTTTGTGTGTTTTTATGTATTATGTGTGTGAAAAGTATTATAAATGTCTTACAGTACAGTACTGTATAGGCGATTGTGTTAGTTGGGTGCCTAGGCTAACTTTGTTGGACTTAGGAATAAATTGGACTTATGAATGCACTCTTGGAATGGGACTCATTTATATGTAGGGGACTCACTGTAATGTCAGGTGCATGAAATGCCCAGAAAAAGCAAATCCATAGAGAGAGAAAGTGGACCAGTGATTGCCTGGACCTGAAGGTGGAGTGGGAGCGGCTATGAATACACGTGGGGTTTCTTTTGGTTGATGAAAATGTTCTGAAATTAGAGGTGATGATTACAAAACCCTGTGAATATATGAAACCCCATTAAACTGTATACTGCAAAAGGGTGGATTTTATGATATAGGGATTATATCACAATAAGAAAAAGAAACATTTAATAAAGCAGCTTTTGGATTCTAATGGCTTCTACCAGCTGTGTCTTCTCAGGCCTGACCCCACCCACAGCTGCTGTGTAGCCGAGGTGGCTTAGCTGTGGTGTCTCTAAATTGTTGGCACTTGGAGGCAATGACAGAAACTGGTTCAGTCTCAGGGCTCACTGCTACTGGTGTTGTGTCTTTGGGTATGTTACTTAACTTGTCATGGCCTTTCCCCTCATCTGAAAAATGGACTTCTGTGAGAATAACTTAATGAGAGCTTATATATAAAGTGCTTGGCTCAATGTCTAGACTATTAAAAGTTTCCCAATAGGTGTAAGAAAGAAAATTGAGGAAATTCATCAACCTTGCCCCACTTTTTTCTCCCAAGCTATTGCTGTTACTTCCTTTTTCTCCTGGAACCCTTGATCAACAGGCTCAACCTCAGTGACTTGCTTGGGTTCCAGAGCCTCCTTTCATGGCCCAGCACTAGATGCTCTTTCCCTCATCCCACTTTGTTCCTGGGTTTACCTTTCTCCTGAGCTCTTGCTTGTTGTTGCTATTTAGTTGCGAAGTCATGTCCGACGCTTTTGCCACACCATGGACTGTAGCCCGCCAGGCTCCTCTGTCCATGGGATTTCCCAGGCAAGAATGCTAGAGTGGGTTCCCATTCTCTCCTCCAGGGGAATCTTCCTGACCCAGGAGTCGAATCTGCGTCTCCCCCATTGGCAGGCGATTCTTTACCACCGGGCCGACAGGGGAGCCCAGCCTCCTGCTTAGCCTCCCATTCTCGGCCTCGCACTTAGGCCTGGATGTAAACAGCTGCTCCGGTGTGGCCCCGTGATTCGTGACCTTGCCCAGAGTTTTAGGTCCACATCTACTGCTTCCAGATGAAGCTTCAGGTCCCTAGTTCTTATCAGCCCTGACTTCCCACCACCTCCCATGAAAGACATCAGAGGGTTTAGATGACATTAGGACTGTAGAAACTACACTTCTCATGAAGTTTCCCCACCTCAAGTTCAAATTAAATGCCATAATTTTCAATCTCCAGCTATTATGTTGAATCCTGAAATGTAAAAGGATCTGATAACTTTGAGAGCTTTTATAAAGGGAAACTTAAAAGCAATCAGCTCAGCTTGGGAGATATTAATACAAGCTAAATGGGAGGTCATCTTCCTGAGATCGTGGGAAAGTCAGATGTGAGATCAAGTTTAATCAGCTTCAGGAGTGAATGAGAAAACAAAATATCTTTCATACCCATTCCTTTGCAGGCTTTGTTCAGCTTTTTGGCATCTTGATCAGCATCAAAACGTTGATGACTTTTTGCTTTGTTATCTCGACCGGCACCCAAGCCCTGATGACTCTTCCCTTTGGCCTAGAAGAAAAAATAATTGCAAAGGTGAGTGGACAATTTGTTGTTGTTGTTGTTGAGTCATTAAGTTGTGTCTGACTCTTTGGGCATTAAAAATGATCTCTGGCTGAAATTGGCAGCTAAAAGGAAGACCAAGCAGACACCCAGATGAGGGAACAGCTGCCTCTGTACACGTGGGTACATGTGGAAATCAGCTGGGGAAGCTCTGGCCGCAGAGAGATGGATGGTACCTCCTGGAGCCAGCTGGACTAGGATGCCCACAGAGAATGGGCCCCTCTGTTCTCAGGGATAATCAGCCCGGTCAGCTCTGGGAGGAGCGATTTTCTCATCGACTCCTCCTCTGTGCGTCTGTCTCTGAAACAGAGAGTAATACAGTGGGCCAGTGTCTTGGAATGCTGGTTTTTCCCCTTTGCCTTGAGACACAGCTTGTCTAGGGAATAGTTGCTGCCTGCCAGAAACTGAGGATTCTAGGATCTTATTACAGATCCATTTCGCAAGCTGGGCTAAAGCTTTACCATTCACACAATGAGAAACATACTATTTAATTTGTCAGAGATAACCCTATGGAACAAAACAGAGGTCTTCGTCTTTACTGATCCTTGGGAAGAGAAAGTTCTGTATGTATACTAATCTAATGTTTCCCATATTTTAATCATTGGCATAGTATATCCACGAAATGTCCACAGCTATCTGCTGCTGCTGCTGCTGCTAAGTCACTTCAGTTGTGTCCGACTCTGTGCGACCCCTCAGATGGCAGCCTGTAGCTATCTAGGTCTACATCTTTATTATTTGCTTATTATTTTTCTATCAATTGACCTAGTTTGTTTTGCTTAAAGTTATTTTCCAGAAAGAAACTTTCTGTTAGCACTGAAGTGGAAAGCCAGTGTGGCTTGCTTAAACAGAAGGTAAGCATAAAAAATCAGTGCACCACTATTAAAAATTTAAAGACGTGAGGTTAATTGCAGTTATGCATCGGGGAGCTTTGAACACACCCTGGCTTTTCTCAGCTCTTTGTCTCTCCTCAGAGACCTTCTTTAATGAAAAGTGTCACTTATTTGCCCTCCTTCCAGGAAGTTGGCTCAAGTGTTACTGTCTACACTCCCCGATGCTCTGCTCCCTCCCTTCATTTCTGCGGGTGCCTATTGGGGATGAGCAGTAAATCGCCTGAAGCACAGAGGAGGCGTTGCGTCCATCTGCCTGGCAGCCCTGTGTCCTTTGAGGCCTTCCCCTCGCCTAGTCCGTGCGGTCTCACTGGGGCTGTCAGTCACGAGGCTGGAGCCCGGTTGCCCTGCGCTTGGGAGAACACACGCCCTGTCACTCAGGCAGCAGTGACTGGTTCCGGAGTGGGGCTGTAATCCAAGCAGGATCAATGAGAATTTTTCCTGCTCTGATAGATAGATTTTGGGAGAGAGATGTCTCTCCCTGCTGGGTTTGCTAAGCTGACTGAGCGTCAGTGTAGGGCGTGTTGGTGGCCATGTTGTCCACTCCAGGAAGGAGGCATGGGTTCAGTCTGAAGCAAAGCAGAGGCAATAAGAGTGGATATATGGAGAGAGAGATTGAGAATATAACTAAGGACTGGAGGAGGGCTGACTTTTAGGTTTTGGTTAATGGAGAATCATATAATTTTAGAGCCAAAGGGATATCAGGACCCCCTATCACCCCATTGCCTTTTGGAATGTAATGTATAGCCCATCTCCCCCCCCCCACCCCCCCAGCTATTTTTTGGCGACCCTGTGTGACATGAGGGATCTTAGTTCCGCAACCAGGGATCGAACCCATGCCCCCTGCAGTAGAAGCACCATGTCTTAACCCCTGGACCTCTAGGGAAGTCCCACCTGGCCCACCTTAAAGTATCTATTCCTGAAACAAGCTGGAGCGGGACTCATATTTGTTGAGCACCTGCCACATGCTAGACGACTCCTTCACTGACAGACCTTTCATCATGGGGAAGAGTAGGCGTTAGTCATCTGATTTACAGATGGGGAAGCCTGGGTTCACGCAGGGCAGAGCATCTGTCTATGGCCTTGCAGGATGCACCAGCTCACTTTGTCTCCTAAAGCCCGTGCTCCTGTGTCTGCTGCACCATCCTCTGTGTGTGCATGCTCAGTCATTTCAGTTGTGTTCAACTCTGTGCAACCCTATGGACTGTAGCCTTTCAGGCTCCTCTGTCCATGGAATTTTCCCGGCAAGAATACCAGAGTGGGTTGCCATGGCCTCCTCCAGGGGATCTTCCCAACCCAGGGATCAAACCCACGGCATCTCCTGTGTCTCCTGCATCGCAGGCAGATCCTTTACTGCTGAGCCACCTAGGAAGCCCTGCACCATCCTGCCTCACGTCTAATTATGACTGGTACCTTCATATTCAGCGGAGGGATGGTGTGTCCCATTTTCCTTTCCCAGTCTTTTGTCAGCTGTAAGAAAACTATCTGGGACTTAGGAAGGCTTGTTGGCAGGACCAGAAATATAATTTGTGGAGCTCAGTGCAAAATGAAAATGTAGGACTCTTTGTGCAAAAGTGATTGAGAATTTCAAGGGCCATCAAAGCATTAAACCAAGAGCAGGGCCTTTGTAAGTGTGGGACCCTGCAGCTGCCCAGGCTACGCACTGACCAAGCTCACCCCGCTCTTTGATCACATTCTGAAAGGGCTGGTTCTCTGTGTGGGAGTGTGGGAAGGAGCAATCTCAAAGAAGTAAATTGTGTCTCTGCTTTTCATCAGGAGTATTATGGCTGGCTCAGGAAGTGAGGTGGAATTGAACCAGAGCAGCAGAAATCTCCTAGTAACAGGCTGATTCATAAACAGTTCTGTAGGTCATTTTAGCTTCATCCGTGCAAGAATTCAGTGGAACTCTTATTATCTATCCCACTTCCCAACTGACAAGTTGAAACAGAGATGGGGGCTCTGTGAATGGTTCTGGTTATGCCTGAGGGTCCTGGCTGAGGGATGGGGAGGGTGGGGAGGCGTCCAGGTGGGTTTACGCTTGCCCGGCTCTGTGCTGGCCGGCTGCTTCTCCCCCAGGCGGAGACTTTTTTCCTCATTGGCACAAAGATGCTGCCAGGGCTTGCAGAAGCCATGAGAAGACTTGTTCAAGATCCTCTGGCCAGGTAACTGCGGAACTGGACTTTAACCAGGACTGTCTGGAAGTCAGCTATGGAATGCCATTTGGTTTCTGTTTTAGTAAGACGGTTCCGTGATACAAATATCATGGAGTTGTAAGAGCGGAGGGATGTGAAAAGAAACCTCAGAACAGGGGCAGTTTGTTTATCCAAGGCTGGAAAAGTAAAAATAAGTGTCCTTTAGGCCAAAATAATATTGAGTCTGGCCAAGGTGGGGGGGACCATGGTGGGCGGAAAGGGGGCTGGTGGAGGGTGTGCATTGGGAGAGGGCTGAGCCACACGTCAGGAGTAAAGATGATGTTGAGACTTCATTGTTTCCTTTACAACTAATACAGCGTGTAAGTCTCAACTCTCAGCGGGGCAGGATAAAGGAATTGCCCCCTTCTCGTAAAGACTCTTAGCCGTCTTGGTTATCTTTCCTTATCAGAAGAGAATTCCATCTTGTTCCTAGTTGTTTAGTCGCTCAGTCATGTCCAACTGTAGCCTGCCAGGCTCCTCTGTCCATGGGATTCTCCAGGCAAGAATACTGGAGTGGGTTGCCATTTCCTTCTCCAGGAGATCTTCCCAACCCAGGGATGGAACCCACGTCTCCTGCATTAGCAGGCAGATTCTAACAGCAGGATATTCAATGTCAGAGGGAAGGCATTGTGTGATGTGATTTTAAAAAGAAAAAGAGAAAAAGAAAACAGTCTGTTTGAAAGGAATCTTCCCCTCGGCATGGCTGGGACTGTGTCTACAATGGCTGCATTCATCAGCTATGGCCAGTGTTGATGCAAGGGCTGTCCTTGGCTTCTTCTGATGAGCCGGGTAACAGCTTCTCCGGAATGCAAAGGGAGCAGACATTCGTCCTCTATGGTTCATTGTTAATGGGCCGGGCAGCTGACTCTGGGGTCTCGGGCCGATTTGCTTATCAGATTTTGTTTTGAAACCTGAGGCCACTGAGCAGAACTTCCAATACAAAGCAGGTCTGCAGGAATGCGAACCAGACACAAAATGGCAATGCAGGAGACCCCAGGATGGGGACGAAAGGTTGAGTTCGTGAGGGCTGAGGCAAACACATGGTTATTCTACCCGCTTTCTACGACAAGGCATCAAAGAGCTGGGGCAACATTCCTTTTTTTGTTTTGTTTTTTTAAATAGCATTTGCACTGACACTCAGGAAACACATAAAAAAGACATGATGCTAGATGTTAATAAAAAAGATTACAGAGTCTGGGTTTAAGGCCACATAGATTCAAGTTTGAATGTGGTCCTGCCCTTCTACAGCCGTGTGAACTTGAGCCAGTTAAACTCTAAGCCACTATTTCCTCATCTGTAAAATGGGGGCAGTGTCTGCCTTCTGAGATCAGAGACTTACTTGAGATAACATTTCCAGTGCCAGATAATTAGACAAGCCACAGACATGTTAGTCCTGTCTCTGCCTCTTTGGGCAAACTCTTATATTTTTTGTCTTGTAGTGACAGTTAGGCTTTCACTTCTGTGTATTTTGACTTGGCAAATTTGGAAGGTATACACGTATTTTCTAAACTTGAAATTATGAGATTCTATTATCTATTTATTCATCCATCTATCATCTATCTATTATCTAGATATCTATTCGTCCATCCATCTATTATCTATCTTGCAATGCCCCAGAAGACATGATGTTTATAAGAGGTAGCCACTGAGGATGTGTTAATGGGCTTCCCTGGTTTCTCAGTGGTAAAAAGATCCCCCTGCAATACAGGAGACACAGGTTGACCCCTGGTTTGAGAAGATCCCCTGGAGGAGGGCATGACAACCCACTCCAGTATTCTTGCCTGGAGAACCGCATGGACAGAGGAGCCTGGTGGGCTGCATTCCATGGGGTCGCAAAAGAGTTGGACATGACTGAAATGACTTAGCACAC